CAAGCCCTGTCTCTAGAGAGGCCTCTCTTGTGGTGTACTGTGCCCAGGCCTGTTACAGATAAATGACTGTCTATTGTGCAAACCCATCTCAAGGATCTACTCTGCTGTCCTGTGGGCCCTTGGGAATCACAGCGGGCTTAACTCCTAATACCTACTTGCTAAGTGGAAGGTATTCTTTTTTTTTTTTTTTTTTGGCAGCACTGGGGTTTGAACTTGACCTTGTGCTTGCTAGGCAGGCATTTGTTTGCTTTGGTTATTTTTGAGATAGGGTCTTGCATTTATGCTTAGGCTGGCCTTGACCACAATTTTCTTACTTACACTTCCTGCATAACAGGAATGACAGGCACACACCACCATGCCCAGCTTTTATCAGTTGAGGTGGGGTCTCACGAACTTTTTGCCCTGGCTGGCCTTACACCACAGTCCTCACAATCTCTACTTCCCAAGTAGCTGGATAGGTTTGAGTCACTACACCTGTCCTGCTTTTAGTTTCTTTCAGAAACTTTTGCCCATGCTGGCCTTGGACCATTATCCTCCTACCTCTACCTTAGAGGTAGCTGGAATTACAGGCATGTACCACCACTGGCTTCTTTTTTGAGGTAGAATCTCAAAAAAGGCTGACCTCCAACCCTAATCCTTCTATCCCCGATCTCTTGAGTAGCTAGGATTATAGACATGCATCAACATCTCAACTTGGTAGGTATTCTTGTGGTCTTTAAGATTCAGGATTCGTGGAGCATCTACTCGTACCTGCTAGATGCTAGGAATAAGATGGTCAGGACCCACCCACTCGTAAGGGGTGTACATGGTGACTCATAAGCGGACAAGCAGCAAGCTGCAAAAGAAATAGAATGGGGCAATGTGTTACAAGCTAGACAGTGAGGTCAAAAAGATGAGTGCACTGAGATGATTTATTAGTGTGCCGTGGGAGGACGGCTGTAAGAATCAGGGGTGCAAAGTAGATGTGACATTCACAGAGGGAATCTAACCGACTGGTAAGCCAGGAAGGCTTCCCAGTAGTGAGGATGCAATAAACCAGTGTCGTTACTGTGACAGCTGCCATCTGTGGAAATCCACTTTATATCAGCCCCTTGCCTGGGCTCTTGTCAGACATCATCTCCCATCCCTGCAGCAGGCAAGGGTGCTGGTCAGCCTGTAACAGACAAGGAAACTGAGGCTCAGACAGGGTTGTTTTGACCAAGGTCTCAGTGTGCAGGTGGGCAGGTAAGAGTTATACCTAGCCTGCCTCCACAACTCCTCCTGTCTGGTGAGGACCTTGTGAGCAGGAAGGGACAGCAAGTCTGCTGGGTGGGATAGCAGAGGTTGAACTTCAGAATATGAGCAGTGAAGAGACTGTTCTGTGCCTTCCTTTCCTAACTACGCTCAGTGAGCCTCAGAGTGCAGGTCTTAGTAGGAAATAGGGACTTCAGCAGCTGCTTTCTTGTCCGTGAAAGGGTTCATTGCCAGCTTCCATCAGCATCCATTCACTCTGCCTTGTGAGCAGAATGACAGGGTCTTCTCCCTCACAGATGTCTGTCTCGTTGTCCAACAGTGGTAGAGCTAAGATTTGGATCCCCATCAGTAGAACTCACAGCCCTTGCACCAACATTCATGCCATGTAAGCCATTTTCTTTGCACCCCTGCATACTCTATGTATTCTGTTGTTGTAACAAAATACTTGAGGCTGGGTACTTTATAAAGAAAAGAAGTTTATTTAGTCCACAGTTCTGAAAGTTCAAGAGCCTGATGTGCTCAGTTCTGGCGAGCAATTGAGATGGCATCACAGTGGCAGGAGTTCATGCAAGGCTGAAACAGGAATCCACAGAGATTCAGAAGTCAGGCTTACTCTATATAAGAGCCCAGTCTGGTAGGAGCTAACTCACACTTCCAAGAGTAATGCTCCTGTGACCTAATTACCATCCACTAGGCCCCACTTCTGAAAGGTTCCACCACTTCCCACATCACCACCAGGAGCCAAGGTTTCAGCCCTTGACTTTAGGGAACACACTCAAGTCATAGCCAAACCATAGCACTCCTCTCTCCTGCCTCTGTGAAAAAGAAAGTAGGCACCAGCAGCTGCTTGCATCACAGCACCTTGATGTGGACACCATATTTGTCCCCACTGTGTGGCTATGAAGACAGGCTCAGAGGGAGTCTTGTTATGTCATGACGTCATTTATGCAGGAACCCACAGTTTGAAAGTGTTTGACTGGGAGCATCTGACTTCCAAGCCTCGTTCTCATTCCATATCCAATTCCTACCAGCCATCAGCCAGCTCTGCTCAGTGCCTCCACCTCAAGGCATCCCTTTCCGTTGTTTGATGGCTGGCCGGCAGGCATATTCTCCCCCTCCAAAGCCATAGCTGTCCCCTTGTGACTTCTCAGACCTGCTGTTCCTAATTTCTTGGAGCTTCCCAGAATGTAGAGGCTCCTGTGCCCTGTGATGGTCCTGCAGCCAGGCAGGGGCCATGCCACCTCCCAGGGGAGCTCTGGCTCAGGATGCCCCCATGGAAGGAGTAGCAGCCAGAAAACTAGGGTGCTGCCCATGGACATGTGCTCACCATGGACATGTGGCTTGGACTGCTCTGAAGGTCTAGAGTGGGTGGTATGGAGGCTGCCAGGATGCAGGTGGTCAGGCTTTCTTCTGCAAGCTCCTCTGCAGTTCCAGTGCCCATGGCCAAGCCCCAGGATGCTGTATCAGGTTCCAGTCCCACCTCTCACCACCTGCAAACCTTTCATACGTTATTGTACCTGCCAGTGCCTCATTTTTCCCGCATGGTAGCGTGGAGATAAGTTAGGGCTCACCTCGGCGGTTGTGGCTCGGGTTGAAGGCTGTGGATGTTAGAACGGTGCCTGGCACATAGGAGGCTTAGGTTGTTCTTAAATAAAGAAGAGCGATGAGCCCCGAGGTGATAGGGTCATCCAGCTTTACATTTCCCACTGTGTAGCCAGGCCAAAGCTCACACAGGCCTGGTGGCCTTGACATGCAGACACATGAGGACGGGGCATCACCGGGACCTGGGGTGCTACACACTAACAGTGGGTCATTATTGACAGCAATGAGAGTGGTTGCAGGTCGGGCACTCTGCAAAGTGCTTTCTTTGTTTTCACTGAGTAAAATTTGCATGGCAGCCCTGTTAGCTCTATTTTGCTAATAAAGGATTAGCACCCTCTGAGGTCCTGGAGTGAGGTGGCCCACACAGCCCCACAGTGAGGAAGTGACAGCCACTGCAGCACTGACCTGGGACTGACCTCCCCAGCCTGCTTCTTCACTCCTGCTCTGTCTGAGTTCCTGCCTCCTGCAAGAATCCACTGGGACTTCTGTGGTAGAAAACTACTGAATGACCATGGGGTTCAGTGAAACAACAGAAATATCTTGTCTCCTAGGTTAGAGGACAGAGATCCAGGGTCAGGGACCAGATGCTTTGGGTTCTGTTGCCAGCTACTTCCTGGCTTTCAGATGGCCACCTTCACATAGTACCCTCACTTGGAAGAGAAAGCAGTCTCTCTCTCTCTCTCTCTCTCTCTCTTATGAGGGCCCCTCCCTCATGACCTCATTTAACTTTTATTATTTCCTAATGAACTGGTCTCCAGATATAGTTATGTTGGGAGTTAGGCCATCACCATCATGTGAACCTAGGGGACACAGTTTGGTCAGAGCACCTCTCCATGGCCTTTCTCTGTCCCTTATTTGTTAGCTGGGGCCCTCCTCTCTCTGCTCAGTGTCCCACCCTTTTCAGAACCTGGGAGACTACTACAGCTGGGAGGGTTAGAACATGTGCTGAAACCCATGCTCCTGTAAGGAGAAGGGTCTTTCCTCTGGCCACATAGCAAGGCTCCTGAAGATCCAAGAGCAGAGCCAGGCCCCCCAGCCTGGGGTGGGAGCCAGGCCTCCCAGCCCCAGCACCCCTGCTGTGCTCCACTTCACTTGCTGGTGGGCCATGCACGAACATTCCTTGAGTCTGGCCATGAAATCCACAGCCACAGGCTTCTCCAGAGCAGTGGAGAGGGCAGGCGTAGCTGGAGCATCTTCCCCGGGCCTGGTACAAGGCTTGATTTTCAGCATATCCTGCCTGCCCTTCCTGCCTTAGGAACAGCACTCAGTGCTGACAGTTTGCCTGCCTGAAGAAAGTCAGGGCCCTGGGTTCTTACTTTAGCCTGCTACTGCTTTTGTGAGAACCTGAACAAGTCACAACTCTGCTCGGGGTCTCAGTATTCCTTCCTAATGGAGGCTTTGTGACACATGCCCTGCCCAGCCCAGGACTGACCTCACAACCTCAGGGATGTTCTCTGATGTTTGAATAGCCAACCCACACCCACATGTTGGTTCCATGATATCCTAGCTGAGGGAGTCTTTGGGACTGTAGTTCCCCCATCTGTAAGTAAGGAGCAGGGACGAGCTTAGATGAGATCTCTAGCCCTCCCCTTGATGACAGAGGAGAGCTACCCAGGACACATGGTGTGGGGCAGATCATTTGAGCCTCACTACTGAGTGCCATTTGCCAACCAGACACCAACCTAGGCCTGTTACAAATGCAAAATCTCAGGCTTCCATCCAGATGGGCTGGACTAGAATCTGCACTTCTCAGGATCTTCATTTGCTTCATGTGCACATTGAAGTTTGACAAGAACAGATTTCTACCTGCTGGAGATGCCTTTGAGGTCTCTTGTCACTCCAGTTGTGATAAGTACAAACAAGTGACAGGAGGCAACTGGGCACATCTGAAAGTCTTTAGACCTTGGCTGCCCCAACTGTAAAACTGGTGGAACTGGCACATGCTAGCCCAGTGATTTTTCAAACTGTGTTCCTTGGAGCCCAGGGTTTGCTGGAGGATCCTTGGGGAAGCCGTGGGGGCTGTGAAGGAGACCTAACAGCCGAGAGTCCCAACCATTCACTATATACGTGGCCTTGCATGTCTCTGGTATCATTGGTGGTAGGGCTCCTATATAGGTCTGGGGGCAAGTATGGGGTCCACTCTGAGCAAACTTTTTTTTCCTCAGGGAGCGCTTGAAGCGCAGCCAAAAGAACACCAAGGTGGAGGGCCCAGAGCCAGTCCCAGCTGAGGCCTCGCTGAGTGCCGAGCAGGGGACGATGACAGAGGTGAAGGTGAAGACAGAGCTGCCTGATGACTATATCCAGGAGGTGATCTGGCAGGGTGAGGCCAAGGAGGAGAAGAAAGCAGTCAGCAAGGATGGGACTGGCGACGTGCCTGCTGAGATCTGTGTGGTGATAGGTGGTGTCCGGAACCAGCAGACCCTCGGTAAGTGCCTCGTGGGGGTCAGGGCTGGGGCCGGAGTCCAGGGGAGATGGGCTGTGTCTCTGCCCCTCTCTGGCTGAGAGAGACTTCCGGGGCTGCCCTCTACCTCCAGGGAAAGTTGGATGCTCTTGAGACTGGCCTGTGCTTGGTCATTTCTAATCTGGAGAGTTTTTCCCTCTCCTAGTCAGACACCTAGTCAGGGTGGGATGAGCCACAGGCTGGCACCTTTCTCTGCCTGTGGAATTCTGGGGAAAACCAGATCCTTAGCAGTTATTTCTCCATTAGTCTCTAGAGGGTCCCCCAGGGGCTCCCTGTGCAATAGCCAGGTTTCCAAACTCAGATACCCACAGGGTCCAACAAATATGCTTATGTGGCTTAAGGATAGAGGAGCCAGTGGGACAGATGGTGGGGACTGCGTCCAACTGGAGCCCCTCACCTCACATGGAGGGCAACTGCTCTTCAACTGCTTGCACTGATGGCTGATGGGTACAGATTTTGGGTGCAGCACTGCCAGATCTCTGCCCAAATCTCATGCTAGGCATGAACATTTTGGTGTGAATTCTTTTGGCTTTCAATGTTTGCAACAAATTTCACTTTTGAAATCTGCCAAACCAAACATGTTGGAGGGTCATAATCATTCCAAGAGCACAAGTTTGCAACTCCTGCCCTGCGAACAGAAGCCAGTGCTCCGCAGCATGGCAGTGAGGTCCTTCCTGGGTTTGCCCCGGACTTCCACTCCTGTCTGTACCCTCCTCCACGTTTCCTACACTCTGTGTTCTCAGAAGTGCTGTGGCCTCCTTCAGCTCTACCTGTCCTTACTGGTCTAAGTCTGTCCACCTCCTTCCAACTTGCAAGCATGTCCTACATGTTACCCACAAGGCTGCATCGGGAGGTTCCCTGTGTCTGTTTTCACAAGTTCAGACTCAAGGCCTGTTACCTTTTCTTCCCAGCTCCTGGGAATTGGCCTCATACACCCTTCCCAGATGTCCTGCTGCTGCTTGCAACCATAGTTAGCCCCACTTGGCTCATAGCAGGTGCCACGAATAGCTGTGCTTTTGTGTCTTCTGCCCAGTATGATCTACCTTTCCTGCTGGCTGCAAGGAGGGCTTGGAAAAACAAAACAACAACCATGTAGTTTCCCTCCCTGTAAACATTGGAGCTGACTCCTTCCATCTCTAGAGCCAGGGCCACGGAATCAAGGTCCTCCATAGCCTCATTTCTCACTTCTACTCTTCCCAGACTTCTCATTCCAGTGCAGCCTGCTCTTCTTGTACTTTGCTCATTCCTTTTCCAGGAATGCCTTTGCCATTTCCCAAATCTAACCTATCCTTCAAGGCAACTTCCAGTGCCACCTCTTCCCAGAATTCTTCCCTGTTCTTTAGTCAGAGGTCCTGTTTACACCCTGCCCCTCACTGGGATACTTCCTACCATCTCTTTAGATGAGAGACCCTAGCGGTGTGTGTCTCTTTCATGAGATTGGGAGCCCTCAGAGACTGGGGCTCCAGGACCTGCCTGATTTCTGTCTCCAGGCTCTCTACTTCTACTCACAGTACCTAGGAAGGTCCTGGCTTCTGGGAAAAGGTGTGTTGCTAACAATGGTGCTATAACGGTCAGGATGTGACTAGGTGATACTGCAGTAACAGAAGTCCCTGAATGTAACATGAGATCTTGGTAGTTTGAAACCTCAAAAAGTTTCTTTCTGATTGACACTAGGTCCCTTGTGGGTCACAGGGGGTACCACTGTGCTCCAGACTCAGGCAAAAGCAGCCACTTTCACTGCCAGCCAAATGGAAGAGGGAAAACAAGCTCTAGATGGACTTATGCCTGCAGTGAATGGTAACAGCCAGAGAAGTGAGAGGTGCTAATTCTACTAACAGTCTATTGGTCAGAACTAATCACATGGCCCCACCCAAACTCAAAGAGCCCAGGAAATGCCATCCTTGCCTATGGCATCATGGATGTGAGTTGGAAGTGTTTGGGGAAGAGCTTGTGATACACCCTGTGCCAAAGGAGAAAGTAAGTCATTTCAGGGACTATGCTGCGCTTGACCCCTGGGTCACTATGCACTCCTCAAGGCCAGAGCTCACGCTGCCATGTATAGCTCACGCTAACTCTGCTTATGTATAGCAGAGTTAGCAGCTATACAAAGGAGAGGCTGTGTCCTTGCTCCCAGGTATGTGTGTGAATCTCATTAGACCCACTGGCTGTCCATGTCCTTCTCCATGAGACACTGGCAAAGGGTAGCTGAATCTGACCGTTGAGAGCTGGCCACCTGGTTTCTGTGGGGAAAGCCTTGAGCAGCCAGGTGAGAATGATGTGGGAGCCTTCCCTGCGTCAGCTGCAGCACAGAGGGAGCCCCAGGCTCGTGAGTCCTGTAACAGCCACCCATGCTGGGTTCCAGCTCAGCTGCTGCTCAGCAGTGGGGTTTTTAGTGTCTTCATCTGTTAAATGAGGTGGACCCATCCTGGCCACCTCATGGATGTGGGAATCCAAAGGACCAGAGGAAGGGAGCAGTGTTGTGTGAGGAGAATGAGCTTGGCTTCTTCAGTTGGGAGCCAATCCAGGCTCTGACTCAAAGTGTGTACCTAGAGGCAGTTCCACTTGCCCACAGCCACAAACTCACAAGGTTATATGTGGACACAGTCTGTGTGGACACTGCCAGGAGAGTATGGGCGAGCTAGTAGTAGTGGTGCTGGTGTGGGTAGCATAAAGTACTGCTTTGAGGAGCAGGATAGTAACAGCCTGCCTGTTCCCCACTCTAAGAAGTAGGCTGCCCAGAAAAAATGGGATGGGGAAGAAAGCTGGCACTGATAAGTTGCTGTCTTCAGTTTGGGGACTTGGAGCGTCTTGTGCAACTTTCAAGTAAACTGCCCTCACCACACCCTCATGGACGAAGTTGTAGATGCCCAGTGATGAACTGAAGTGGAGCCACCATTTTGAATGTTGTTTCAGACAGTGCCCCTGTTAGCCATGTGGCTCCTCTCCTGTCCCCAAAGCTGGTCTTACTGCTTCCCCATGTAGCTCTGCTGAGGTCAGCCTCAGGGGAAGATAGCTTGATCTCATCACCAGCAAAGAAAGGCATTTTAAAAACCAAAACAGCAATGCAGGAATGGAACCCTTCAAACATTTCTCTTCTCCAGATGGCAAGTAGTTTTTCCCCTGTAGGCCAGGTTTAAGCCATTGCTATTGGCTGTTGGGAGTTGTGTGTTAAGGATCTTGGAGAGTGGCATAATTGACGGTTGATGTCTTCCCTGGATGTAGGAGTGGGCAGTGAGTCTATTTGATACCCCTGGTCCCCTCATTTTATAACGAGGCCTGTGGAAGTGAAGAGAGTTGCTTAGAGTCGCCTAGCAAGTTAGTGACATTTTCTTCCTGTTGTAAAGGGCCTGCATACCTGGGAGGCCTGCCTCGCCCCTGTGTCTGAACCTAAAGCATGGAGGGAAAGCAGCCCTGGGGACCGGGGAAACTGCTTGGAGCCAGGCCCTAATAAATTTGTGCCACAGTGTGGCTTCTGTGCCATGGTGGCAGGCGTGGGGAGCTCACATTCCTGAGGCATTTGAAAGGCGTGCGTGCTTTGCTCACCCAGCCACACTCCTGTCTTAGAGATGGGCTCTGTTGTGGAATAGAATAGTGTTCCTGTTCAGCCACCCAGTGGTGCACCAGGAGGAGCAACTTCCCCTCTGCCCCAGCCCTCGCTAGGCCTGTAACAACCATTAAACAAACAGTGTTCCCACTGACACAGCCTGCTAACACACATTACTGAAGGCCTTCTCATGGGGGAGCCCAGGTTGTGGCCATGCAATGGCATTGGCTACTCTTTGGGCTGGGAGAACTGGAGTAGGGAGCGTTAGTGCCCGGGGACTGGCTGCTAAGTTTGCAGTGGTGGCTTTAGAGAGGTCCTTGTGCTGGGAAGGACATCTTTCACTCTTAGAATGTTAGTACCATTGGAGCTCATGTGGAGATTGAGTGTGAGACCTCAAGCTTCCTTTTGTAGGAAGAGCAAAGATAATAATGAACTTGACACCTTTGTTGGATAAAACCAGAAGTGAACATAAGTAAGTTAGCAGATCCCATGCCCACCAAGCAAGCTGTAGGTAGAGCTCTGCATGGCAGCCTGAAGAGGAGTGGCTGGCCATGTGAGCTTTTGGGAGCTCCTGTATGAAGAATGAAAACCCAGGTGCTACCATGACCACTGCCCAACTCCATGTTCATGGCAGGCATAAGTAACTGACTGCTGTACACTGTGCCCATAGTGTACCTCACAATCTTCAACACAGTGCACCAAGAAGTCACTAAAATTAGAACTAAATTTAAATTAAAGAAGAACTAAAATTAGAAAACTGGAAGAGGAAATCTGCTTTCACCCTTGTCCCAAATGAAGACAAGGCAAACTGGGCTTATGACAGGACAGTTAGTTCATGGACCACTTCCCGGTTCCAAGAGATAAGGATGCTCAGGATCCATTATGGTGGTCAAAATGTGCCATCAAGCAGCAGATGCTCTCCTTCATGCTGTGGGACTGAGCAGTGGTCCTCATTCCCAAGGAGGTTATAGGTGAAGGGTCTCAGGGAAGGCCACAGGCACATAGAGACCTGAGTGCCCCCGAGCTTCCAGGTGGCAGTGCAGGGGCCACTGAGGAAGAGAGTGGGTGACCCAGGCTCTACTGGTCTCCTCTTCTGGTGAAGGATGTGGACCCAACCAAGTCATTGTCAGAGAGGTCAGTCAGTGTTGGGAGGAGCCCCAGGACTGTGTGTCCTGAGAAGGAGAATGACGCTGGAGGGCTAGTAGGGATAGAGTCTGAATATGCACAACCTACAGCATTTTGAGGGACTAAGTAGACACATTCCAGGAAGCCCCAGCCAGCATTGAGAGGTCGTCAGGAAGTAATTTCAATTCAGTACGAAGAGGTCTTTGTGACTGTGCAAATGTTGGTAAACTGAGTACAGTCTGTGCAGAAATGAGTTCCCATCCTAGAGATGGGTGAGCAGAGAGGGTTGCTGCAG